ATGGCCCCCCTACAGTCCGCGTACACACTCACGCCCCGGGGGCGCGGCCGCCACGTGGGGAGTGGCGCGGGGGTGGCACTGCGACCGCACCCCCTCTCATCCTGGTTGCGTGGGCCCGGCTTTCCCCAACGCTGGAGACTCCGAGCCCGGCCGGTCCCACGTTCCACGCGAGCTTAATTTCTGCCTGCATTCAGCCGGGACGGCCAGAGGCAGCGGCGGGATTGCCGGCTCCGGGAGGCGCTCAGGCTCCGAGAAGCTGCTCAGCCCCGCGCTCCTCCCTCCGCAGAGCCACTGCCGGCGGGCCGGGATTCCCGCAGGTCTCGGCGGCTGCGAGCGCGAGTGCGAGGCGGCGCGGATTCCGGGCTCGGTTCTGGCACAACTGCTCACCTCGCCTGCCTCGCCTCCTGCGGCTTCCTGCGTGCACAGGGCCCTCAGCGCGCCTGCCCAGCCGGTCTCGGTTTCCCCTCTTCTCCCTCTAGTCCCAGTGTCGCATCTCCGTCGACCGCGGCGACCGGCCGAGAGTGCTTCGGGCGGGAGCACGACGGGACCGGTTTGGTTCCTCGCGCGGGCATTCCTTTTTCCGGGCACCGCAGCCCAGGTGAGTACCGCGCGAGCGACTGGGGACCAGGACGGCGGGCGGCAGCGGTGCTACCGAGAAACGCGAGCTCCATAACCCGGCCGCGTTCCGGGGTTCCGGAATGAGGGGACCTCGAGGTGGAGATGGTAGCTCTGGGGAAAAGGTCGCCAGCGGGACTGGAGGACGCTGAGCCTAGGGATATCTGTCCTGCGCTGTTGTAGCCTTCTCCCCAACTCGAACAGCTCACTGGCAGTGGTCCTGGCGGGGTCACGCCCTGAGGAAACTTGCTCTAGCAGAAGTATGGGATAGACCTGGGCAAGACCAGCTGGCACTTCAGAAATTCCGCGTTCGGGCCGGGAGCTGTCCAGCCTGGAGAAGCTCTGGACTGGAGTTTGCCCGGACTTGCCTGAAGCTGCTGGAAAGGGAATTAAGATTTTGAGGAGTCCTTGCTGCAAAGGTTGACCTCGGGATTTGGCTGCCTCGCTATTTTCCCAGCTCTTTGCCGACTCCCAAAGGATCAGAGTGGAGTCAGACCTCAACCGAGGCTCCTCCGTGTCTGCACTCCACATGGGGCCCCACACTGAGTGGAGGGACTTGTAGCTTCCCCTCTTACCCACACTGAGGCTTGCGTCCAGGGAGCTCTCAGCTGCTAGTCCTCCCTCCTTTCTCTTCCAGATCTTGCCTCAAGTGGATTAATAGATTCCAGTGCCCCAGGATCCCAGACCACAGAACTGAGTGGGGGTGCTTAGCCAGGGCCTGGCTGGGCAAGTCTGACTGGAATAAAGCTTTATTCCAGGTGCTGGGGGCTCCAGGGACAGCTGCAGTGGAGATGACCCAAAGACGTCTGGGAGAAGGGTCTCCCTGGGCACAGATGTTTGTCTGGACCCTGAATGCCCTAGGCTCAGCTTCTGGCTAGCCCCAAAGGGGAGGAGTGGGACAGGGCAGGGTGCTTGACTAACCATTGGCCACAGTCCCTGGCTAGCTCTTGAGATCCCCCCACAGCTATAAGAGCTTGATGGAGCTTTGCGACTGATCCCGGCTATAAATGCCAGCCTTTCCTGGACTCTGGCCCGGGAAGTGGTCACCTTGAGGCAACCCAGGCCCTCCTGGCTCACTCTCCTACCTGGCCCCTTTCCCAGGCCCAGGAGGTAGGACCAGACTGGGAATCCCACAGTGAAACCTCCTCTCATGCCACCTCTTCTCAGGCCTGTGGCATTGAAGTTTGCATGTCCAGCATGGGACTGCCACTATCTTCTTGGGCAAGAGTAACCCTGACCTGGTCTCTCTCGTCCTTGGTTTTCCTTCCTGTAAACTGGGAACCACAGTACTGTCGGCAGCTCGCCTTTCGGACTAAAGTAAGCCAGAGGGTGGTATGAAACAGTGATGGACAGCTCTCAGGAAGGAAATGAATCCAGTTGTTTTTACTGTTGCTGTCTCGTGACCTGCCAAGGTACTCACCCTTTCTACCTAGATCTTAGTTTTCTTTGGAGAGGGATTGTGGGCCAGTGGACTTCTCAGGCTTCCACTTCTGACTGTCTGTGATTCTGTGAAACTGGCTTAATTCCTGTTGGAGGAAGAGAAATGTTTACACAGTGGATAGATGTTTTGGTATCCAGCTTTTTTTTTTTTCTTTTCTAGTTTGCTTACAGTGCACATGTAATCACCAAAGAGAGAGAGAGAGAGAGAGAGAGAGAGAGAGAAAGTGAGAAAGCACCCCTGTGGGAATGGCTACCCTGCAATTCCTTCTCCATTCTCCTCTCAGCATTTTGGACATGCACACACACATGGCTGGTGTCATGACCAACGTGCTGGGTCTGGGACTCGAGCCACGCAGTTAGCTATGCGGGGGTCAGTTGCCTTAATTACTGCACTACCTACTGGCCCGATGTCTAGCTTTTTAAAATGCCACCGAGGCTTAAGAACAATGACCAATGTCGTGGCTTTTACAAAGCACATTTGTAGTCCTCATTTCCCCTGCAGCTCTCAGCCCTGTGAGAGAGCGCTGAGATTATTGTCCTCGATGCATAGATGAGGGATCTGAGGTTTGTCTGTGTGCCCAGGATCTGTGAGTCTCCACTCCTCGTCACGATCCTCATAGCTGTGCGATGGAGGAAGTGCCTGTGGAAGCTGCAGCTTTGGTCATCTCTGCCAAGAGAGCCCCTTGCTCTGTCTCCTGTGGCTCTCAGTTGCAGGCCAGGGTCTGTTGGGGTTCCCAAAGCTGTGTTTCCCAGCCTGCTGAATTGAGGGGCATCTGCAGGGAAGCAGTAGAGGGCTCTCAGGTGACCAGTGTGTCATCTGGCAAATCTCTTCCCAACCCCAGCAGCCCTGTAATTTTGCATGAGTTCCTTTGCCTCTTGGTGCCTCAGTTTCTTCATCTTAAAATGGGGACAGTAATGCCTACTTCTCAGGATTTCCTTCCACGATGAAATAAGACATGTAATTTAGGTGCCCTGACAATGTTACCCACAGTGTGAACAAGAGAAGATGAATTCTTTTCCCTGCTTTGGAAATTTTAGATTCCCTACAGTGACAGGGGTTTGATCTTGAATCAATTTTTTTTTTTTTTGTATGATTGAGCTTCAGCTTCCTCCAGGAAGACTCAGTATTCTCTTGTTCCTGTACGCGGACACTGCGGGGTGGCAGGCCACTGAAGCTGAATACCCCCTCTCCAGGAGCACCGTCTTCACGGGCCCTGGGAGGACTCACTTCAGACACACAGCACGCAGCCCGGGTTAGACACCCACCTGATTCATGCAAGTACAGAGTGGTGTGGGCATGTGAATGGGTGGGCATTCATACGCATGTGCTCACATGACACACTGATACGAACACACAGTTCACAGGGACGTCATCCAGATCCATGATAGGGACGCGTGGGCTCGCATCATTAGGCTGAATGTTCATAGTCTTACAAAGCAACACCCAGCAATGAACACAGGCACGTGTGTCTAGACAGGGTCATACACAGAACCCACACGTGGGCTGAAGTAGGCTCAAGCTGACCTTCGTTCATGGACGTACACCAGAGAGACACGAGACCTGCAGGCCCTTGGACTGGCAAACATGGAGACTGTCTGCTAGCATGCTGGTTTGCATGAGCAGCATGCATTCACGTTGACACACACGAGCACACAGAGGCCGCCACACACACTCCCTCCCAGATCTACAGATACAAAGAGACCCACTTCACCAGCGTCGCACAGACACACAGGCGCAGCCTCCCACCCTGCAGGAACTGAGACCCACACAAGGGATCAGAAAGCAGAGGAAGGGGCTGTCTGGAGCCCATAGTCGAGTCCATGGGGGTCCAGCACGGCTAGTCCCAAGGAAAGAGGGGAAGCCCTTTCTTCTCTTTTCTCACTCTCCTTGTCCGTGGAGGCCAGCTCCCAGCCAAGCCGCCGCCAGTCCCTGAGGCTCCGGGCCTCCCTCCCCAGCAGG